ACTGGGGATCAAACTCAGGACCTTGAGCTTGCAAGGCAGGCAGCGGAACCACTGAGCTAAATCCTTGGCCCTAAATGATATATTTTTAAAACATAAATGTTATGCCATGGGACAAAGACATTAATGTAAATTATTCCCTTACTAAGAATAGGCAAATAAAACATCTTAGCCAAGTATAGTCAGTAAAATGTTCAATTTGGCTGATTTATGTATTTCCTAGTTTGTGCCTTTTTTCTTTCAATTTTCTTTTCTGATCTACACCAAAATGATCATTTTTTTTTTTTGGTAGTATGGACTCACCCCACTAGATAAGTACTCTACCACTAACTACATTCCAAGCCAAATTTCCCCCTTTTCATCAACTTTATAATGGATCCTCTAATGAAAATACTCAAACATCAGATTTTCAATAACAATTCTTAGGAACTCATTTCAGAGAATGTTTCTTTTCCCTCAAAGACAGTCTGCAAAATGCTCATCTTTATAACTTATTTCCACAACTTACTGCAGTACAAACAAGGTCTACAGATGCTGTATTTTCTGTTGTTATTTTTCTGCAGCTCCTACCTCCCTCTTTGATTACAGGCCTCGGTATTATTCCCCTGATGGGTACAAGAGTAGAGTTCTATGCTGCTGTGATGGTTGTAGCGTGGAAGGGAGACTTCCTGCCTGAACCCAATCCCATAATGCTCTTTAGCTCCAGAGTAGACACAGGGTCTCTACTACATGCCTTCTCTGTCCACTGCCCATAGTTTCCACAGTTAACCCAGAAACTCACTGTTTTAACATGACTGACTACATAAGTTTCATATTTCTTAGTTGATTTTCATATGGTGTTATTTTTTTAAGTTAATATTTTAAGCCCACTTTAAAGAATTTATCATTTAAACAGCACTGGAATAACCTCAGAGATAGTAGTAATGTTTTAATTGTTTTTTTTTAATGCTAGGGGCTGAATGTGTACCTTGTGTACTACATGAGGCTCTAAGCTCAATTCCCAGCAAAGAAAGGTGGAAAGGAAGGAAAAGGAAGAAAAGAATGGAATCTTGAGTACTGGCAAACATTGGATATCAATACACAGCCTATTATTACATATTCAAGCACAGCATTTATACATTATATTCAAAACAAAGCTATCTGCACAGAAATTATTGTTAGTAGATGGAAAACAGAGTGAGTAACCAACAATTTATTGAGTACAGCTATTCCATAGTTAAAGACCTACCTATTTAGTGACTGCACTTATGGTCCACAGCTCAGACTTTCTTTTTTGTACAGATCTGTTCATCTTGTTTATAGAGCCTCAAAGTCTTTTCCTTGTACAATACAACTTGTTTATATGGTACTGTAAGTTTGTGGATTTTATTTTGCAGTACTATAGTTTTATGTTCTGCTATACATTACAGAAATGCATGTAAGAGTACTACAAATAAAAACAAAGCCATCAAGTTGGAGTTTCCTTTGACCATCTCTTTGTTCTAAATATTGTAAGGTACATATTATATACAATTCTCATTTAGCAACCAATGCAGTTAACAACCTAACTGAAGGTGCATAACGATCATTAAACAAGAAATAGCTATGCTTATGTACTCTGTAACAATTCTTTGAGTCTAAAGTGAAATTGTTTTTCATTTAAGTGGAAACCAGTGATTACAAATGATAAGATCGCTTTTTCAAGAACTGAATGGTGTTGTCTACATGGTTGAGTAATGAGATAAAAGATCCAATAATATTTCTTTTTTGCATTTCTGAAACGTTCTAATTTCATTCCAGAACTTGACTAGCTCCCTCTTATCCTCCACCTTTGCTCCTTCCCTCCGATCAATAAGACCCTTCCTGAGACTTGCCACGATGAATATCACCTTTAGTCTCTGATTAGCTTAATTTCCAACTTCTCTATCATTAGTAATGATGTTGCTAAGGTAATCAGAGGCATATCTGAGCAGTGAATCTGGGGTGAATTCTAGTGAATCTGAAATAATTTATAAAGGTAAAAAGTTGAAATAAGCAATCTTACTAAGTAAAATATAATTTGAAATGCCCAAATAAACTTTGAAATCAATATAGTAGAGTTGTCCAAAAACTTAAGTCACATTTGGACACTTAAGTTTTGTTATGTGGGAATTTTAAATATTGGTTTTATGTTTCCATATGTCTCTTTATGGTGTCTGTGTTTTAAAATCACGAATCACTTCTCGCATTTCAGTTTAACAACTAAAATGTTCTCACATCCAAGATTTACAAGGAATTGGGACATTTTGGTTTTTTTTATTCTAGCAACCAACCATTAGCCTCATCAGGAATGGAAAATTGAAACGCTGTAGAGCAAGAGTATCTCTGGTTTAAATTGTTTAACACATCGGTTCTGACAATTGGAAAAGCCTATTCAGAAAAGATGTCAGCAGCATATTAGAGTACAAAAAAATCAAGGAACAGGGCTGGGGATTTGGCTCAGTGGTTCCGCCACCTGCCGCTTAAGGGCCCGAGTTCCATCTCGGGTACCAAAAAACAAAAACAGCAACAACAACAAAAGCAAGGACCCGGAGTCTTCCCTACGTGAGAAGGACACACTGCGCTGTCTTTGCTTTGCAGAACTGCCGCCCTTACAGAGCATTTCACCTTCTCAGATCTGAAGTGTCCAAAACACTTTCCTTAACCACAAACGGATGAGGCTGAACTCTGTGTGAGACCTCGGTTTTTGTAACCTTTTGAGTGAGTGTAGGGAGCTACGAATGAGACAATAATGTTGCCCTGTGATTGCTGAGGGCGTTGACAGAGCAGAACAAGAATGCTTTGGTTTTCTTGGTCTCTGTCCCTGATCGCATAGCAGGTCATTGTTGGGATTTACCTCCTCACCTGCAATTTCAAGAAATGGAGGACTCCACGGCCCTGTTAAATTTTGTCGTTAAATACATAGATGTTCTACCCTACTGGAATCAGAAACTATCTAGATTTAGATTGTCTGAAATCCCTTTCAGAAATGCTGCCACCGTGTGGCACTTCAGAGCTATGACCAGAAGAGTTCCGTGAAGGGTCATAGTTCTCAAGATCACGGGAAGCCAGCGAGGTCTGTTACCAAAACTCTAATGTCACACTGAGTCATTCCCGTGGGCACAGGGTAAACGACATGGATCCTGTGGAAATCTTGTTTTTAGACTTTGTGGGCTTCCCTCCACTAAATTAAAATCATGACAAGCTTATGTGGTAATGTGTTTAAAGGGGGAAAAGGGGTTTTAAAGGCAGAAGTCAGCTTTGCGACTTTACATCCTCCGTGTTTTAAATAGGCTCTATTTTAAAAAAGTGTATGCTGATAACCTACAGATCAATAATATCAATTCATTTGGAATAAGTGCAACTCAAAAGAGACAAATTCCCCCTACCTACTGTTCATAAAACCTTTGGATTAATTATACTACTGACAATGTAGGGAATAATTTACTCTGTATTTATTTATATAAAAGCAATATTTGGCAAGTAGCACTGACACCTGAGAACTAGTGTAATAGTAGGGCCAATTATCTTTAATCTTAATTTACAGCAAGACTTACAATGCAGACATACAGTAAATAAATAGTGTGATATACATTTCACAACTGAAAAAAGGTACATTAAGAAGGTAAATAACTTAAGGTAATATTAAATATTTAAAATGGACCCAGGGCTGGGAATTTAGCTCAGTGGTTCCACCACCTGCCTCGCAAGCACAGGGTCTGAGTTCAATCCCCAGTACCAAATTAAAAAAAAAAAAATGTAGACTTAAAATGGACCCAGAGCTCTGCAAACACTGGATTCTGCTCTAATATTCAGACTTCCTCTGTAATTTTCTTTCAGTTACATACCTTTTAAGTGCTTACTACAGTGTTTCTTTTATAGACATTAACTTTTTTTTCTGAATAACTAGCCAAATTTACATATCCTTGGAAAAAAAACTAGAAAAAGACAAGTCAAAAATAGAGTCTGCTCCTTTAAAGGTGTGAATTACTCTTTAATATGCACAATTACAACTCCCCTCCTCCTAATAACCCATTCTATTTAAAGACATAACAAATCATGATTATCTGCTCCTGCTAAAACCTTCAGCAACAATTAACTCACACATGTAGACCTTAAACTATTCGGGACATGTGTATCTAATACTGCATGTGCCATGTACAGATTGTTTTCTGGACAAGCTTCTCAACACCCCTTGTGAGCCAGGTAAAGACACAAGTGTAGGCAGGTGACATGATTTGCCCAACATCACACAGGTCATTAGTGACAGTGGGCCTGGAAGCCACCATCTAATTCTCGAAGCTTTACCCTCCAGCAGGCATCCTCGTCTTAGAAAGTTAGAAACCGCTTTCTGCCTCTGCAGCTTCTAGAGTAAACTACCATCCTCCTGCTTTCTGCAGTTGCATAGTTTATATGTATAGGGTCCGTGATTCAGCGCCTCCAAAGAACTGAAACAGTGCCAGGAAGAGTCCTGTCTTTGAAAGGTCACTGGAATGCTACCTGAGCAGGCAGGAATGGGAATCTCAAGGTCACTGATGCCATCTGTCTACACAGCAAGCTGTTACAGACTGGGAATCACAAAACTATTGAGCAGTCAAGCAGAGGGGGAGGTTTCTGAGCTCACTGTGTGCCTGAACAATCGCCTTCTAGTCTTCAATCAATACAACATAGAGGCGGATGTGACTGCAGATATGACCTTTCTCTCAACTTGAACAGAAAAAAATTTCATCCTATATAATTGTAGTTAGGGCTACTTTACATTAATAATTTTCTCCTAATCATAAGCTACAACTGAAATCTCGGTGAGAACTATAAGCTCCTTTCTTCTTGTTTCTTATGGAGTCCCTAAGTGTTCAAGGATGCTGAATGCCAGTCTCATCCATGAAAAGCTAGTTAATGATACTGTGCATAAGTAATATTTTAACTGTGGAGAGAGAGAAAGAGAGAGGTTGTATTTTCTTTTCAACCACAAAACCAAAGAGGGAAGTGTGGGAGTAGGTGGACCGGGCATGGCAGAAATCTCATGACTGAGTCCCCGCCTCCCTGTACTGGTGGAAGGCGTCTGCAGCAGCATTTAAATTCCGCAGGCCCGGGCTGTCAGCAGCAGCAAGAGGTGGCAGGAGCAGAGCATCCTCTGGCCCCAGACCCAGCTGCAGCCTTCTCAGCCGGACGCCAGCAGAGGTAAGCCCTCCCTTGGCTGACCTGTCATTGACACACTCAGCCGGTTCTCACGAGGCCGCCAAAACTGTAAAGAAAATAACTTCCAGGGTATAGCTGGTATACTTGAATTGTGCTAGTCATGAATAAGCTGGTCAGATGCAGCACAGGTCTCCTGGATTACAGGTTCCTAGGTATTTTGAAATCCAGACAAATATAAAACTTAAAAATGAGCCCCACTGATTCCTAAAGAACTAAAACTACTGCTTCTGATCAGAAAAAGATAAAAGTCTGTCCTTTTGAAATGATTGTTCCTGCAACATTTTAAATGTCTGTATGATTGTGGAGGCAATTGAAAGGATCTCTCATGCTAATATGTATAAGCCAATGATAATGATGTTTTTTTGAGAGTCACAATTTATCTTATCTTTAAGGGGAATACAGTATCTTACCTTCTTGATTAGCTGTTAAAATGTATGACACTGCATAGGCTCGTTATCACAAAGAGAAAAGCTGTAGACTGTTTTCAGTGGTCTCTTTTCCTTTTAAAATTTCTCGAGCACCTTACTTAAATAGCTAACTTCCACGATAGCTTCATTTCACCTAAGTACCATCATCTTAATTTTACATAAAAAGCCTGTTTGAAATGCATGTTGGTAAAAGGAAGACGACAAATCTTTTTCATAGTTTAATTTTCTCTATGTGTTTTTCTTCCCTGAAAAAATAGGAGCCTTCATACAAGTTGTTATTTTAATTATTAAACCACTGTTGACTTGTTTTTAGGACAGCTAGTCATATCAGGTAATAGTGGGTCCTCTAAATTTCAGTCAGTAAACATAGACATAAAATTCCCCTCTCCTTTGCTAACAAGAATGAAAGGAGGGGTGGCAATACAAATATTAACTTGAAATTCCAAAATGTTAAAAAAGTTTCTTCTAAAAAGTTGAAATGATTCCATAAAACATACATTACCTGTGCTTCTCTTCTGATGCAGTGCATACAAAAGATGTGTTTTAACCTCTGAGGATGACAAATGTTCCTTACAAATATTTTTCAGGAAAAGTCATAACCATGAGAATTGCCCTGATCTGTTTTTGCCTCATTGGCATCGCCTACTCCCTCCCGGTGAGTACAGCTGAATCATAAAGAAAATTCTGGAAAATAAATGATTTGTGTGTGGGGAACACATTCACATTGCAATTTTTCTTCATCTTTTCTGTTTCAAAGGTTAAGCAGGCTGATTCTGGCAGCTCTGAAGAAAAGCTGGTAAGCATCTTTTAGGTTCAGCAGACAGCTCAAATTATTTATGTATCTATTGCTAAAGGTGCTATAAAATTTACTTTAATTTGAATTATCTTTCACAATCAGGCCTGTTAAGTTCTAAGTATATACTGCCTGCCTGTTATAGATCTATGATAGTACCAAATACAATATAGTTTTTTATAAATATATTCTCTTAAAGCTAAATTCCATGTGTGTGTGTGTGTGTGTGTGTGTGTGTGTGTGTGTTGTGTGTGTGTGTTTTACTGGGGATTGAATCCAGAACATTCACATTGAGCTACATCCCCAGATCTTTTGTGGGTTTTATTTGTTTGTTTGTTTGAGCAGGGTCTTGCTTTTGTTTGTTTGTTTGAGCAGGGTCTTGCTAAGTCTCTAACTTGCTCGGGCTAGATTCAAATTTGCAGTCCTCCTGCCTCCTCCTCCCAGAATGCTGGGATTATAGGTGTGCACCACTGAGACCAGCTTAGGGCTTTTAATATAATAAAATAATGTCCCAGACCATTGTCACTTACATAAAATAAGTTTATGAATTTGTGTGACTTTTTCTTTTCATGAATCAACATGCTGTTCTGGAAGCAAAAAACTACATCCTCTATGTATTTAGAGAAAAGCTGAGCTTAAAATATACCTCAGCTGTTGATCAGAATTGCTTGTATGATTATAACGTTCACAGTATCGCCTAAGATATTTGCTAAGAAGCCCATTGTGAAAAGAAAGTCTATGCTGTTTGCATCTATTGTGCTTGTCAGCTGACTTGAGATCACATTTTCCCAACCAAGCATAAGACCAAACCAAATTATTTATCACAATTATTCGAGCAGCACCCTAGATGTACCTGCCCCTCCACAATAGATGAAACCAGGCCAACCAAAGAACAAATGAGCCTTGTCCCAAAGCTAGACAAAAAAGCCACACAGTTTGGTTCCAGAAGAGCAGAATACAAGCCAGGCTAGAGTTGCCCGGGGTCACGGGTTGCTTAATGAAACAGCAAGAGAGGTGCTCTGTGAGCACGTGTGTGACCCGTATCTGCCTGCTATGTGAGCGGGTGTGAGCATGTGTCTGTTTTCCCATCGATTTGGATCACAGGCGTTGAATCACAATAACAAGCCAGGAAAAAGTAACATTCTCAGAAAAGATAAAGACCAACTTAGAGGTGAGAATAAGTGCTGCTTAAATGGAATAAAATATGGCAAGGATGTATTTTTAACGTATTTTTATCAGTCCACATTTGCAACAGAAAATGTTTCCTTCTGTGGAGTGGTGCATGAACATAACGCATCTTAATTCCCTCTTCATCCCCTTTCCCGTCCTTCCCTCCCCCTTCCACCTACGTCTTGATCCCTTTCTTTTCCCCCCTTCGTACATTTTTGCAGTGCATAATGCTTACAGTCCTTGCGTGGAGTTGCTACTTGTACAGAACACATCTTAATTCCTTTTCCCATCCCCTTCCCCTCCCTCCGTCGCTTGGTGCCCGCCCCCTTTGAGAAAGATCCATCTTCCTGCTTCCCGTTATCTATCTTTTATTTTGCTCTTTATTTATACTTTGAGTTTCTTAAAAGGCACATGAAGCCAGGGCAGTAAAGGTCATTCGGTGGTACTAGGAGACACATGAAAAGCTCAAAGCTTACCCTTGTAGAGTTCCAGAGATTTCGAGCAGTAGGAAATACGGGAAAGTCTAGAAGGATACACACCTGAAGATGATCTGTGCCCTGTTAGGATTCCTGAAAAGCTTTCATTCTGCTCATTTTGTTCATCCATATTTTCTTCATATCACTTTTATTTCTTTTTTCTCATTGAGTTTATTGGTACATTTTAGGTATACAGTGCAGTTATATTCATTATTGGGATCTTGTCCTTTTACATGACAGGTCTTGGTTCTCATTTTTCCCATTCTCCCTGCCCTCCCTTCACCCCTCTTCCCTCCCCCTTTACAAACACTTCATTTCCATTTCTTCATTTTCTCATATTTTTTCTTTTCCTTTACTAGCTTTCCCCTACCGTTCCCACTTTCCCTACACCTTTAGCCCCTTTCTTCCTATTTCACACTATAAACTATAATAGTACATAAGATCCTAATGATATAATGTATTACTTTTAAATTATAAATTTAACCTTAAAACACTGTCTTCTTGAGCCTGCATTCCATGTGCTTCATTCAGAGCCAGCCAGGAGAGAACAGCTGGGTGTCACTTCTGCTCCTCCACCCTCTGTGTCCCTTCTGGGCATCTGTGTAAGGGACTGTGTGACCTACTAGGGTTGTCATGCTCGGTGACTGCACCTGGACTTGATTGGCCTGGACAGTTACCTACCAGATGACATTTGTTCGGAGTAATTTCCATGTCTCTGTGTTTGCACATTGTTAGCATTTTCCAGAGCAGCAACCTACTAAGAAAAGGCCGCCATGTTTTCATCTTCGGTACCATCGTGCATAGAACTTCTATGCCACGAAGTTGATACTGTATTTCTCACTGCCCAGTGTGACAGCCACTGGACCGAAGTGGCAATGAAACACTCACAGTGTGGCCAGTGCTGCTGGGGAACTTGATTGTTTTTGTTTTGTTTTATTTTCATTTTAATTAACTTGCATTTAAATAGCTGCACACGGCTGAGGATACCATATCCGACAGCATAGCCCTAAAGTTCCTCTTGGTTCCATGGAAAGGAAAAGATGTTTTAGGGCTGCTTTACCCAGAGGAAATTTTAGCCAGCAAAAATAGAACAGGAAGCAGGATGAGAATCTGAGGTGAGAGCCACGGGGACCAGGTTTGAACGCTGGATGTCACTTGTCAACAATTAAGTACACAGGGGCTATTTTTCCTGATCAGTAAGCTGGGGAAACACTGGTACCTCTCCCATTGAGGGATAAAACTAGTATCTGTAAAATACCTCAGAAGAATTCCTGCTCCACAGTAAGTGCTATTAATTCCATAAATGAAACTGCAAGAAAAAATAAACAATAAAGGAGTTTGTAAAATTCCGGAATATTGTGCAGCAGGGTTGGCAAAATATACTTGTTTTCCCAGCTTATAACTTTGAGATTCTTGTGTTTCTTTTCTTAAAAGTGAAGAATATGTGATTTTTTTCTGCAGCTCTACAATAAACTCCCAGAAGCTGTGTCATCGTGGTTAAAACCTGACCCATCCCAGAAGCAGAATCTCCTAGAATCACAGGTATTTTCAGATATCTTTCCAACCACCATGATAGAAAGCTACCACAGAGGCCAGCTAGTGTCATGGATCCTTGTCACCTCTTGGTAAATGTGTTTCCGAGACAAATAGATCTGCCAATGTGAGCTTCTCCCTTGTTAAGCTGTCCACCAATGAGTTTTAAAATAATGCCAGCTTTGGATTCAAAAGACACACTTTTGAACCAAAACTGATTCGTGTATGGTGTACGCTAATGATGTCCTTCCTTTTCCAGAATGCTGTTTCCTCTGAAGAGACTGATGACTTGAAACAAGAGGTATGTTCTTACTTTAAATCAAAGATCCATCATGAGAGACTAGGAGAAATCCATCACTTGGGTTCTCTTCTGATGAAATTCCATTAGCAAGTTTTCCAGCAAATTATCAGTCTAAAACATGTACTTACTAAATGTTAGAAATGCAAGGCTTGTTTGGATAAGTTTAGTGTTGTAGTAAATGTCGACTGATGCCTGCTATTCAAAATATTAAGCCTACTGCAATTCATTTCAGATATTTTCAAAACATTTAGTATCATTAATCCTACAAAAGTCAAAAATTTGACTCTCGAGTGTTTTTGTTTCTAATGATAATTCAGCAAGTACTCTTTTTACTAGGACCATTAATATATTTGTTAAGCAAAGAGATAAATTTATTTTCTTTAAGAGTCAGTTTGAGGGCCAGGGATTTAGCTCAGTGGTTCCACCACCTGCCTTGCAATCACAAGGACCTGAGTTTGATCCCTGGTACCAAAAAAAAAGAGTCAATTTGACCAGGTATCCCTAATAAGGAAAATTAGATAAATGACCCATTATATTTGCTCGCTTGAAGTTTAATGAAACTTAATTGGTTCCTTCAAAGGAGAGATCTGAGCTGCAGTGCATACATACATGCCCCACAGTCACGTTTTGCGTACTTATAATAATATAGGGAAATGGTTATAGGTTTTGGTACATACTATAAAATATGTATGATGTGTTATCTTAAGGATTTGCACTGCAAAAAAATCTATCTCACAAATCTGTATCTGTTATATCATTAAACAGTAAACTGAATAATGTGTGGTATGTGCAAAGAAAAACAATGTTATCCATATGAATATTATATATTTGACTTGAAAATATCTATGAAAGTGATTTTTTTTTATTGGAAACCAAAAATAGCTCAGGGTGTTATTTCATTTATCCCAGTGTAAAAGGGAAATTAGAGGATGCTTGCATTAGCTCCCCAAAGCCTTGGATTACACCGTGAATGCAAAGATTCGGACCCTAAATGAAACAGAGTAAAAGCCTAAAGCAGTATAAAAGATGAGGGAAAATAAAACCCCAGACACTAATTTGTGGCCATCCTGATTGTTAAAAGATGAGGGAATAAAACCCCAGACACTAATTTGTGGCCGTCCTGATTGTTAGACCCTCCCGAGTAACTCCAATGAAAGGCACGACCACATGGACGACGTGGACGATGACGATGACGGAGACCAGGACTCTGTTGACACAGATGACGATGATCATCCTGATGATTCTCACCATTCCGATGAGTCTGACCATTCTGAAGAATCGGACGAAGAGGTCACTGATGCTCCCACAAATAGTCCCGAAACCCCTGTTTTCACTCCCATTGTCCCCACCATAGAAACATATGATGATGGCCGAGGTGACAGTCCAGCTTACGGACTGAGGTCGAGGTCCAAGAAGTTCTCCATTTCTGATGCCCAGGTAAATCCCTCAACAAACACACCCAGGGGTTATGACGAGAGCTCAGTTCTAAGGAGCCAGTCTTCATGTTCATTCGTCATTCAGCAACCAGGCAGGCATTTATTAGCAATCTACTTTATGGCCACTAAAAATGCAAAAGCTTATTCTATTTGTTTTTAAGTCCATGTAATTTCTTCCTAATTTTTGTCTCTCAAGCAGATTTCTACTTTTCCAAGCCCCAACTCTAAAGCATTTATTATATGTACAATTTTATAGAAAAAAAAAGAAAAGAGATTTGAGCAAACAGTAGTTATTTGCAAAATATAATGATCATACTTTGAAACAAATACCTAAGAGGATTTGTAGAGTCGCAAACTATCCTGAACCTAGAAGCAAAGACTAGGTAGACTGGCTTCTACCTAGTCTTGCCACTTTTTATCCACTTTACATTTTAACTTTTAATTTATTTTCTCTTTATATAAATCAGAGATAATGAGACCTATCTCCTAGGTTTCATTACATATAAAAGTGATGTACATGTTAAACTAGATAACATAGGAATGGGCTTAGTAAAGTAAGTACAAAGTACTGTACTTGCTGACACTATTTTTCTTCAGCCAAATTTAGACAATATCCAGTGTGATTTGGCCCAAACATTAGAGATCAAAGGAGAAGTATAATGTCGCCATTGCTAGCTGTTCATGTAACATTTCCCCCGTTGTATTCAGTACCGTGATGCTACAGATGAGGACCTCACCTCTCACGCGGAAAGCCAGGAGTCCAGCGATGCACACAAGGCCGTCCTTGTTGCCCAGCACCTGAACGTGCCCTCTGACTGGGACAGCCATGGCAAGGACAGTCATGAGTCCAGTCAGCTGGATGAGCAGAATGTGGAGTCCCACAGCCAAGAGCAGTCCAGAGAGCACAAACGGAAGGCCCGTGATGACAGCAATGAGCACTCTGATGTGATCGAAAGTCAGGAAGGTGCCAGAGCCAGCCAGGAGCTGCACAGCCACGAAGACCCCAAGAGTAAGCAGGAAGATGAACACCTGAAAATGAGCGCTTCTCGTGAATTAGACAGTGCGTCTTCTGAGGCCAATTAGAAAGAGAAAAGGAAATGCAATTTCTTCGCTTTTAGTAAAAAGAAAAAAATGCATTATAGAGAATCAAGAAAACATGAAGTGCTTATTTAGCAGGTGAATGTATATGTATGTAGCTTTGGAAATTAATGTTTTCAATCATTCGTTTAGTTTGTTGCTTCGTGGTAACATCCTTATAATCTAAAAGCTTTAGCATTTTGTCTGTGTTCTTTCCATAGAAGAAATGCAAGCCATCACTGCATTCTAATGTTTGTTATTCTCTTATGAATAGAAACGTATGTAGAAGCAAACAAACTACTTTTACGCACTTATTGGAGAGACTATAACATTTTATGTCACCACAGTCTTTTGTTTTTTAAACTAGTGTATATTTTGTTGTGATTATTTTGTTGGTGTGAATAAACCTTAAATCTGAACTATAATGAAGAGTTTGGTGGTGCCTATTGTATTTCTCTTTTGGTTTCTCATATGTTGTGGTTTCTAAATACGCCTTTAAAAAATTTTGAATTCTCTATTTTCCCTTGAGACAAAAGCTCAAGATTTAAATTGTGGATGTTCAAAGAAGAAATAAAAAAATATGAATATAGTTAAAGAAGGGACCACAGGAAAACTTATAACCTTAAATTATTATGACACAGTAAAAGAATGAAAGTAAATAATTTGAGTTTTCATCTTAAAAAATTAGAAAAGTGCTACAAAGTAAAGAAAAAATAAAATGGATGGCAATAACATCAACAACAAAAATAACAAAATAGATAAACCACCAACCAATCTAATGAAAAAGGGTAGAAGAATTTTTTTATAAATCATAAAATAAAAACAAGGAAATTACCAATGAAATTTAGGACATACTAAAGGTCAGTAAAAACTACTTTGTACAGTTCTATCCAAATTAAATGAAAAACCTACAAAACTTGGATCATTTTCTTGGAAAATGCTATGCACATCCTCTGTGACTTATGATGGGATTGCATTCAGATAAACCCCACTGTAACTTGAAAATATTGTTAGGTCAAAATGCATTCAATACACCTGATAGCAAACATCACAGCTTAACAACACAGTACACTAGAGTCAATTGTTGCTCTCTGACCACGTGGCTAACTGGTTGTTGTTTCTCCTGCCACTGCCTAGCCTCAGAAGAAAGTGTTGTATTACCTATAACAGTGACCAGAAAAGATCCAAATTCAAACCATGGGTTCCGTCATACTCTGCATCATTTTCATATCAGCATGAAGTAGAAAAAGTGTAAGTCAAACCTCAGTAAATCATGATCTTGTGTGGAAATTGTAAAATATAAGCCTGTGACAAATTTCAACATTCATTGCTAATTTTATAACATGGAAAATTAAAGGGAATACTTCCTTAACAAAGTGCAATATTTTATACTTTGGCCCCCAAATCAGCCTCATACTTAACATAGAAACATTAGAAGCATTCCCATTAAGATCAGAGGCCAGGGATTTATCTCTGGTTCTGCCACCTGCCTCTCAAGCACAAGGACCTGAGTTCAATCTCTGGTACCAAAAGAAAAAAAACAAAACAAAACAGATGATCAAACAGAAAGCAAGAATGTCTTCTATTTCCACTATTTTAGTATCATGTCAGAGATTAAAAACTAATGATAATAAGATAGTAAACTTTTGGATTCATAAGGCTTCAGAAATAATTAAATCACATGTGAATTATATAGTATTATATTTGGCAGAGAATCAATAATGAAAATAAGAAACAGTAAATTTGGTATAAAATAAAATTTATATAAAATTTACCTAAAACACTAAAAACTGAAACTATTTGGAAATATATGTCCTTAATATTGAAACAAAAATGAAATACTGATAGGACATGTGCAAAAACTGTATGAGGAAAGCTATAAAAGACTGTTGCAAGCCAAAAAGGAAAACTTGAATAAATAGATAACATTTTTATTTATGTGGTACTTTTCAACACCATAAAGATGCCAGTTCTTCAAGTAATACACATATGTAATATTATTCCAATAAAAAAGTAAACATTCCCTGGAGCTATTCAAGCTAATTCTAAAGTTCATATGGAAGAACAAAGATTCAAGAGTATGAAGGAAAAATTTTTAAAAGCCAGCAATAAGGCAGGACTAGCCCTAATGAATATCAAAACCACTAGAAATAAAAACTCTCTAATAACAATAATGTGGTACTGGTCCATGAACAGACAGACCTGCAGAAGGGAACAGTACATCCCACGTACATGTGAAAATCACTGCACAGAGCACTTGGGAAAGATGCACTTTTTAATAAATGAGGCAGATAACCATCTGGACAAAGACAAAATTACATTGGTAAATTCAGCCATACATCCAAGAAACCTCCATATAGACCACAGATCCAAATTTAAGTGGAAACTATTAGACCAACACATGTGTGAGTCACATGGGTGGTAACTATCCTGGTATCGGGAAGGCTCTTCTGACTAGGAGACATGCCCCCCCACCACTATCCCTGCAGACACCTCTGGTCAAGTGCAGCAGCCCTCTGGGCTCCTGATACGCTGCTTCAGGTGGCGTGTCTTCACAGTCGACCGCAGGTGACAGCTTAACTGTGTTGTACCCATGTGCTGTAGAATGTACATCCCATTCTCCACTGTCCAGTAGCTCCACGCTGTGTTTAAATCCAAGGCTGTCACTAAGTCAAATCTGAAATCTCGCCTTTGAACTGTGATATTCAAACAGCATCTCCGCACCACTTCTCTATCCATCCAAATTCATTAAGCAGACAGGAAACACACCAGTAATTGAGCAGAGAAACTTTAATGTAAAGCATTATCTGCTGGAAGTGGGGTGGATGAGAGAGGATAAAAAACAACTTTGATGATACCATAGGGTTCAAAGTACCCAAATAAGGAACAATTTGCAAAAAGGGGCCCCCTTCTCAAAACTGAGATTCATGCTTCCCTGGAAAGGGTGTAGCTACAGCTCAGGGAATGGTAGAGAAGTTTGCTGTGTTATTCTGGGTCAGTGCTGGGCCCACAGCTGGTGGGCTGATGTTGACAAACAGGACACTTTCTACAGGCTGACAAGCAGGAAACTGGGGGCGGGGAGGCGGGCTGCTGAACAGGAAACAAGTTAGAGAGTGAAAAGGAAACATGAAACCCACTAGATGTGGGTGCAATGCAGGCAACCTTCATTTAGGAGCAAGAAGAGAGAGGAGGCATGAGCAGGCTGAAAGGGCTTCTGCAGTGTCCCTCCAGTGCCCTCTACTGACAAGGCTCACTTGTGCCAGCTGGCCAGTGTGTACAGAGTCCTGCTCCAAATCACAAGGCAGCCAGAGGCCATGGATTTGCCAAAAGTGGGCCAATGAAAAAGCAATAAAGTGCTCACTTCAGCAGCACATACACTAAAATTCAAACAATACAGAGAAGATGATTAGCATGGCCCCTGGGCAAGGATGGCAAGCAAATTCATGAAGCATTTCGTAGTTTTTCAAAATTTGAATGATAGATTCAACAAGGATATGGAAGCTTCAAAAAGATGTCAGGCAAAAATACCTAAAACAAAAAACAGTATAAAATTAATACATTGCAGAGGTGACCAATGTGAAGACACAATGTCTGATATTGAGAACAAGATATGAATTATGATAAAGAGCTCAAGAAAGCCAAAAAGAAAATAAGAACAAAAGAAGACTATCCAGTCATTACTAGATGACAATAAGGCAAACCTAAACCTAACTTGACTTAGAGGAAAAACTAGAAGATATCACAGATGGATTTACTAACATGTTTACAGAAATCATAGAAGAAAATTTCCCAAATATAAGAAAAAAGTTTAAAATACAAGTAAGTAACACTTATAGAATTCCACATAAATATGATGATAAAAGAGGCTCACCAAGGCATATCCTTATTAAATTACTGTGTATCTAGCAAAACAAAACAGAATTTTTAAAGCAGCCAGAGAAAAACAAAAAATTACATATGAAGGTAAACCAATTAGAATGATGGGAGACTTCTCAGCACAAATCGTAAAGGCCAGAAGAGCTTGGAGTGAAATATTTAAAGCCCTAAAAGCAAATAATTTCCAACCCAGATTAACTTATCCAGCAAAGTTATCCTTCAAAACTGATGGAGAAACAAAGTATTTTTATGAAAAAGAACAGCTCAAAATATGTGTATGAGTGGTAAGCCAGCTATAAAGAAAATACATAGGGGAAGAACAAAAAGGGAAAAGAAAAAAATGTGAGAGAATGAAAAGATGAAAATAAAGTGTTTGTAGATGGGGAGGGGAGGAGGGGGTGAAGGGAGGGCAGAGGTAAGGGGAAAAAATGAGAATCAAGACTTGCCATGTAAAGGTACATGATCCCAACAATGAATGTAACTGTACTGTATCCCTAAATGTACCAATAAACTCAATAAAAAAAAAATACATAAACACATTTTTGAAAGAAATAACAAAATGAATCCAGCCTAAAAAAAAACGGAAGGAACTAGTGAACTCAATGGATAAATAGCAACAAAAAGGGTCAGGAAAAGAAAAAATGATACACTAACAGATAGAAAAGGCAATGACAATAAATAAACACATATCTCAGCACTATCCTCAATGTTAATGGCTTCAACTCTCCAAATAACAGGCACAAATTGGCAGACTGGGTCAAGAAAAAAAATCCAACAATCTGTTGCATTCAAGAAACTCATGTAATCCAAAAAGATATTTATAGATTAAATCTTAAAGATGGAAAACAACATATCATAAACCAGGACTCTGAAAACAAACAGGGATAGAAATTCTAATATTGGACATGGTAACTTCAAGCTAAAAATGATTAGAAGAAGCAAAGAAGGCCACTATATGCTAATTAAGGGAATAAACCAACAAGAAAAGGTAACATTGATAAATATATATGCACTGAATACTGGAGCATCTATCTTCATAAAACAAAAACAGTTGGAATTAAAATATCAAATAAGCACTAACACAATCATAGTAGGGGATTTTAACACCCCACTTTCACAAAGAGATCAACTGAACAATAAAACAATTAAGAAATATGAGAGCTGAACCACACCCTTGAATATATGGACTTAATAAATATATACACAGTATTCCACCCCACTACAATAGAGTATACATTCTTTTCAGCAGCACATGGTACTTTTTCCAAAACAGATCACACACTAGTCCACAGAGCTTGCTTAAGTAAATATAAAAGAATTGAAATTACCTCATCTATACTATCAGACCTCTGTGCAATGAAAACAGAATTCAGTGACAGAAGAAAATTTGGAAAAAGGAAAATCTCCTGGAAAGTTAACCACACATTCCTAAACAACCAAAGGGTCACAGAGGAAATTTTTAAATTTCTGGAAGTTTATGACAATAACAGTACAATGTACCAAAATCTCTAGGTTTGAAAGCAGTTCTAAGAGGAAAATTCATCATAATCAATGC